CGGCTGTTAGCTTCGGCTCAGGTATGCCCCTACTCATACCCAACTTAGTTTCATTTCCTGAAATGGAATATATAATTCAAAAATTGCGGGACAGATATCAACACCAACAGAATAATAAATGAAGCCACAGCACACATTAGATAAACTAATAGATCAAAAAAATAATTTTTCCAAAAGCACAGTGTAGAAAACTCAGGAAGCCAATTGAGGGAACAAAATAGTACAGAAACAGTCACAGCATAATTAAGAAAGTTAAATAGCAAACAAGTTTCAGAGAGTGTATAGAATGAAATAAAATAAAAAGAAAAGCTATCACATGATCAATGCATCTGCCAAAATCTCATTGCCCAGCCCACCAATGTGGTGTTAAGTCAGGTTAAAAGCTAAGAATGAGTGCATGAACAAAGAAGTTTGTAATAGGTTAAAGAAAATGAATGTGAGGCAAAATGTGCATGTATAACAAAGATACTAACCAATATAGTGAGAAAATGCAAAATAAGATTCTGCTACATCCAAGGATCTTTGCATGTAACACTGTCAAAGTTATGATTTCTAGAAGCTAAAATCTCCTCATAAAATGATTGAATACTAGATAAAGCTTATTTACCACTGCTCATCAGAGAAGCCACCAGAAAAATGACTAAAATACCATCATATGTTTCAGCCTTCAATCCCAATGTGGGAATGGCCAGAACACGTTGAAAAATGTCCTGTAACCTGCTTCTACATTTTCATAAATACTAACAAGTTCTTGCAACTAAAAATCATGAGTCTCAATGCAATGTATATATTTTCCTCAGACATAGGGTTATCATGAATCACCCATCAAATGAATATGTTCTGCTTACTAAGTTTCCTCTGTAACCATGTTCACATTAATTTATGACCTAGTCTTCTACATCTCACCCTTTCTCATCATTCTTTAGCTTCTTCATATATCATGCTTTAGACATTAAGGGGAAGAGGATGAATCATACAGAAGAATGATACATTGATAATCTGATTTATTTGTAACCTTTAAATTTCGTAACATAGGAACTTGCCTGTGTAGACAGCTACTCCACAAGCCCATTCTGTGTTCCTTAAGTAGCATGACTGAAGAATTGTGTTTTTTATGGTTAAAGGACAAACATCATTATCAATAAATGGAGGAAACAGACGCAGATTAGCATCAAATCTTCTAATATCTTTATCTGGATTTGGACACTCAATAACACCCTGAAAAAGAAGATAGAACACGTAAAGATCACAAATACATGTACATGAGTGTGCATCTAAAACACACAATTTTGAATTTATGGTACTTAAAAGAAATCTTGCCTTGATTTTATGCAGCAATTCAAAATCTATTCCCATGCAAGCAGAGGGTATTACCCTTGTCTTCAGATCAGTTTCACCGTCAAGTGCAGCAGTCTGCAAGACAATTTGTACCGTCAGGTGATGTAAAAAAATCAAACATACTTTTTATATATACAACATGAGCATTCTTAACAATTTTATATGTTAAGGCTCTTATCTTCTTCTTTTTTTGAAAGTCAAGGCTCTTCTCTTCTTTACATGAAGACCTAGGGTTCATCCAAGTTCCTATTCATTGCTAATAAGATTTTGAATGTGTGCATTATAATCCAACAATCTTCCAAATGAATTCAACCCACTCAGACTTATTAAAAAAATTGAAACAAAATCATAACCTGATTTAGATTTTCTTATATCTGAATGGTAACAAAGTTGGAGTACAAAAGGTACCCATATCTATTCATGCAATCAAACAGAACTTTTCCAACAGAAGCTCTCTCTCAAGTTCACATAAATGTGTTGTTATCCAAATTATTGGTGTCCTTTCCTGCCCACACTGATACTTCAACCACGAATATATATTTACAATTATAACATTTTACAATTTTTACTAAGAGTCACGTATTCACCTCCACATAGCAAAGGCCTTGCGGATCAGAGGTACCCATTAAAACAAGATCACACGGCACCTCATCATTCTCACGAAGCCATACTATATTACCAACATGAATATCCTGGGCTTGGACCTTCAAATCATTGTCACAATCACAAGTGAAAAAAAAAAAGAGAGAGCAAACAGTTAGTTTTACAAAGTTTAAAAGGAAAAAAGACAGTAAGTAAATCCTTAATCAAGAGATCAGTCAACCTGAAAATAAAAAAATAAAAAAAGACAGATATATGCTATTCTGTTGATTTATGCCAACAAATTCAAATTACACAAGTTTTCTAATAATTACACAAAAGAACCAAAAGAACATTAGAAATTTCCCTTACATGTTTTTTGATGCCCTGCCTAACAACCCAGACTTCTTTCTCATTAGCTTTCTTGTCTGACAAATATCGATTGTAGTCATCCCATGCTTCTTTTGATGCAGAGACTGCAAATATAAAAATTAGCGGGCCCCATGTACTGGCAGGATTTACTGGAGTAATTAGTGACCATAACTGAAGGCAAGCAATCAATAAGAAATACTGGTTCATGAACCGGCTGAAATGAGAAGCAATAGACATATCAGAAACAGTCAGTGAGCCCATCAGGGAAAAGAAAAGAAACAGTGGGTGAGACTGAGAAATGCATAATTGATATAAACTTTCAAGTAGAAAAAAGAAAAATATCTCTGCCCAAATACATTATCATGCACCATTGATTAATGAATCAGAAAATGCATCGAATACCACGTAAGAGTCTCTAAATAGGACCACTCAATCATGTTATGCAGCCATTCTTAAAAGAATAAACGATTAGTCAGGCAGCAACTCTGATCATTGCATGTGGAAAAGATCTTCATTGCAAAAAAGATGAGTATAGTTCTACTTACGTAACCAAGGGAACCCAATATATAATCAAATCCAGATTATTAAACTAATCTCCAATTGACAACAAAACTCTATAGGGTATACCTGAACTGCTCCCATAAATTTTTTGGGAGGAAGTTCAATACAGTGTATTTTCTGTTAGATATTCGGTTATCACAGTAAAGTTCTTGTGAAGATTCATCATCATTGATGTAAACATATCGCTTCATTGTTGCCTTAAAAGCAATCAATGGCAACTCTCAGGTTACACCCCAAGTTCATTACAGAGCCCAACAACAGCAAGGAGCCCAGTCAAATAACCTGAAATAGAAAAAAAAAAATTAAAATATTGGCAAGTAGCAACAATTTCATGATAATTTTTCCTTTCTATTTTTCTTCTAAGGGGAACATGACAGAGGAAACAAATAAAATACTATTGATTCAGCTCATAAATTGCTCATCACATCGTAGAATCTTCATTCAATTACTTGGAATGAAGATTTAAATAAATAATGATAACACACAAGATCAAGAAATATCAAATTATGCATCACGGCGTCAATTAGTTCGATCAACGAACCGTCGGATAAAATTTAAATCTCGATTAAATTGTTACTACAAAATTGCAAAGAAATTCCACCAGCCTTTTGCGTACGGTTATTTAGCATCCTAGATTTCGAATCTTGATTGGAAATGTTAGCTGAAATGATTGAGAGATCGTACCTTTTCTTTAATTTCTTGTTGATGTTGCTCTCTTCTTCCTTCTTCTTCTTCCCCGGGCCAGGTACTCCGTCTCCCTGTTTTGCTATTTTGCTTTGAAGGAACCAAAAAGGGGAGTTGTTGCGTGTATGCGTTTCTATTGTTTGAGTTTTGTGGATCTACCGTCCTCCGTCTGATAATTGTAAATTACCCATCTCATAGCATGATGGTAACAATTTTTATCAACCTCGGGTTAAACAAAGTTGGATAAATTATTGGAAATAGAAAAGAGAAGTCATGTTGATGAAAATGGTGGCAAGAGGGTTAATCTCTACCCATGAATAAATGCATATCGCATAGTAACATATTGGGTAAAGTTGTGTCCCCAGTCAAAACTCAAGGAATAATGGAATATCCCATTTGACTAAGCCAAACACACCCTTTGTTCCTTTCTATCACTGATCAACAGCAACTGTTCATCGTCAAAACTCATGTTAGGTGGCTATCGGATTAATTACTTTAGATATATTTTTTTTAATGAATTTTAGAATTTCTGGCCCTTATGACTTCTTCAACCTCCAACCTGAATAAATTATATTAACTCATTTGGAAATCTAATAAATCTATGAATTTTAATTAGAAAAAGTAAGAGACTGTAGGGAAAAGGAATGGATGAAACTCTAAAATTATGTTCCCACCATAACATTCTAAGATTCTGTGCAATCAAGTCCTAAAATCTTTCACTTCCATCCCTAACTTCATAATTTCAATAAATTTTGTTTTCTTTTTTCATTAAAATTGTTCAATCATAGGCTTCAATAATATTAATATTATTTGGTATTCTACAAGCTACCCATGAGGACTTTTTCCATTCTTTCCATCATTTATTACTATAATTATTTATAATTTATTTTATCAGTAAGTATAAAAATTTACACGCTGTAATATGACGAGTTTATCATATAAAGTATTCAATCATTAAGTAATGAGATCACCTTAAATACAAACACTTTTACTGTTGTCTCCATGAATTTGCAATTTGAATTTTGTTGACTTGTATTATGAACTCATGCTAATTGTAAATCGTATTCAAACATTCATAAGCTTGAAAATTCATCATATTACTTTCTTGTAATTTCGCGACTAGTTATCCTACTAACTTTGTAAAGGCATTGCTTATCTTATGATTGAAGTGTGACAAGGTAAGCCTTTGCGGATTAAAGTGTGCAGTTATAAAGGTCTGAAGGCATAAACTCACATGCCTTTTCCGAGTTTCTCTTCTTTTTTTTTGAATAGCAAAGGTATCAAGTTTATTCATAGTGCAGGGACATGAACCCCTCCTTCCTTACACATTAAAGCAGAAAACCTTGGTTCATATATCAGTCCATTTTATCTGATATATGTTTCCAAAAACCTCCTCAAAAGATCAAAGAAAAACGTCCACTGTACACATCACCAACCCAAAAGAACAAAAGCAACCCCAAAGAAAGTCACAACATTCTTCCCAATATCTCACTTTGAAGATGGATGGCAGCTTTGGCAAGTGAATCGGCTTCTTGGTTAGCCTCTCTCGGTGAATGTCTGATTTCCCATTCTGTACATAACTCCTTAAACCTTTCAATCTGATTCATCCAAAATCTCAGTCTCCAAGACGCACTTGCAGGATCTTTAATCCATCTAACAATATTGCACGTGTCACTTTCAATCAACAAGGAATGGTTATCTTTCTATCTCGATGCTGAGAAGATCAAGAAAGCCTCCTTCACAGCAAGAACTTCCGCAGTAGTAGATGTTGGCAATACAATCGGTTTGGAGAAGGTAATTAACGCCTCTCCCTTCTTATTCTCAAAAATACCCCCCAATTTCAGCAGGTCCCGGACATCCTTGAGCCGCTCCGTCCACATTAAACTTCAGTTGCCCTAGCTTTGGTTTTTCCCATGTAGCACTTTTTCTCTCTTTTGTTTTCTTTCTACCACCACATCCAACTTCAGGAAACATGAAAGTAGTCAAAACAGAAGGATACTCATTAGGCCATTTAGCATTAGCCCAAGAGGCCACTCTTATCTTTGAGATCTCCCAACATTGTGTCATCCAAATCTATTCTTACCATTGAAACAACATCATTCCGGCATTTCCAAATTGTCCAAACAACCGCAAATAGCTCATTCGCCATATCCTCTCATATGCCTTCCCGGATAACAGTTATTCCAAGAATCAAAAAACAATTTAACATTACGGGAACACTCCACTGATAACCAAATAATTCACACCACCTAACCCACACCTTCCATGTTTCAGAGCAGAAAATAAACAAGTGATTGACAGATTCACTTTCTTTATTACACAAAGCACAAGTACTTTGATTATCCTGAATCAGTCCCCTACTTACCAGTTCTTCCTTCACTCCAACTTTTCCATGAAGCAATTGCCACACAAACGCCTCAATTCTATGTGGTGCAAGGCTGGCCCAAATATTCTTCCATATCTTGTCTCTCATGTCAGTGGGCTCCATCAATTTTTTGCAAAAAGATTTTGTAGTGTACAGACCATTGGCCTCACCTTTCCACACCATATCATCTTTTAGTGTTTTGCTAATCTGGACATCAATGAGAAGGGTTTCGAGCCGATCCCATTGAGTTACTTCCCAGTCAAAGAGATTTCTTCTCAAAGAAATATCCCATCTCCACACATTCTCCTCCCACCTGTCATACTCTGCAATCCTTCCATTTTTATTGTTTGCCAGTGCGAATATCCTTGGGAACATTTGTGCCAAAGTTCCAGTTCCAATCCATTCATCGGTCCAAAAATAGATATTTTCACCATTTCCAACAACTAAACCAATATTAGAATTCACCTGCAAAAAATACTTGTTAGTCAGGGAAAGGGGGCAAATGATATTCTTCCATATCGTAGAAAAATTCTTGCTCAGTTTTGTGTTTGGCATGAGACAGATAGGATCACTCTTGGTCTTATTGACAATAACTTCTCTCCACATGCTCTCTCTCTCTCTTCCGTAACGCCAAATCCATTTGTTTAACAGGGCTCTATTCTTGGTTTCCAAATCAGTAATTCCTATCCCTCCCCACTCCCGATAATTGCACACCTTCTCCCAATTGACATAATGAACTTTTCTTTTTTCATCAAAGTCTCCCCAAAGAAAGCTTTCGCTGAAGTCTTTCCAATTTATTCCTAATCCCTACTGGGATTTTAAACAACGACATATAGAAAATTGGCAGACTGACCAACACTGATTTGAGCAACGAGATTCTACCCCCAAATGACAACAATTTCGATTTCCATCCTGTCAGTTTCCCTTCCACTTTCTCAATCACTGGATTCCAAAAAGCCATGGAGTTATGATTAACCCCCAATGGGAGTCCCAAGTATGTAGTTGGATCTTTCCTACTTGGCACTTAATCAAATCAGCCCAGTTTTGAGCTAACACATTTTCAATTCCAATCCCAATGAGTTGGCTTTTTTTGAAGTTGATACTTAGTCCTGACACACTTTGAAAGCATCTGAGAATCCTCTTCATCACTAGGATGTCATCCACTCTGGGTTTGCAGAATAACACTGTGTCATCTGCAAACTGCAAATGAGATATCTTAAATTCTTGTGTTCCAATTCGATCCCTTCCCATACTCCTATTTGTTCAGCTCTCTTAATCATACTGCTCAGCACTTCCACAGTGATATTAAACAAGAATGGGGACAGAGGGCAGCTTTGCCTAAGCCCTTTTTTCATTTCAAATTGTCTGGTTGGTGTACCATTAACAAGCACCGAAACCCTTGCCGTACTAATACACTCCTTAATCCATGATATCCATCTCTCCCCAAAACCCATTTTAATCATACTGAACTCAAGAAAATTCCAACTAATACAATCATAGGCTTTTTCAAAGTCGATCTTGAACAGAACACCTCCACTCCCTCTCTTTCGAAGCTCATCCACAACTTCATTAGCAATAAGCGTGCAGTCCATCAATTGCCTCCCTTTTATGAAAGCAAACTGGTTTCTCCCAATAATTTCATCCATGACCCCTTTTAATCTGTTAGCAAGTGTCTTCGCCACAATTTTATACAAACTCCCCACCAAGCTTATAGGCCTATACTCATTAAGCCTTGTTGGGTTCTTTATTTTAGGAATCAAAGTGATGAACGAATTGTTAACACCATGACCCAACTTTCCATACCTATAAAAGTCCCCCATAAACCTCATGACATCCTTTTTTATCAAGCACCAGTTTTTCTTGAAGAAATTTAAATTGAACTTATCAGGTCCTGGTGCTTTGTCCCCATCACAGCTCTGAATAGTATCCCAAACTTCATCATCAGTAAACGATCTTTCCAGATATCTAACTGAATCTTCCTTCAGAGATCTAAAGTTGCACCCAATATCTTTCAACACTAAAACTTCCCTTGCTTTATAATGTTCTTCAAAGTGTTTGGCCACTGCTTCTTTAACCTCATCTGGATTTTCAATGACCCCTCCATCCACTGTGATTTTCTCAATAAATTTAGTCCTCATTCTTGATGATGCAATGGCATAAAAATACTTTGTATTACGATCCCCCTCTTTCACCCATTTACACCTAGACTTTTGAGCCCATTCCCTTTCCTCTATTCTGAAGAGGCGCCATAATTCAGCTTTTCTTTTTGCTAGTAGTAATTTTCTTTCTTCGTTTCCACAATTCTCTTGCCACTCTTTAAGTAATCCTTTAATTTCTTCTTCAACACAACAGATTTTCTTCTGTGTGCTTCCAATTTCCTTGGCATGCCACACTCTCACCACTGGTTTCATATTTCTAAGCTTCTCCCATAGGTTTCCCGTAAACAGCTCGCCTTCCCTATTACTACTCAAATACTCACTAACAACCTTTTGAAAACTTTTATGATCAAGCCAAAAATTAAACAATTTCAAAGGCCTAGGACCCCATTCAAAAGATCCTAACCTCAGCATAATTGGATTACGATCTGACAGTGAATTTGGTAGGCACCTCTGGACCAGCTCTTGCTCCCACTGCGGCCATTCGACCCCAACTAAAAATCGATCCAACCTACTAAAGACCATTCCATCTTTGTATCCACTCCAAGTAAATCGATCCCTAGTCAACTGTAAATCAACCAAAGCCAGACTATTGATAAACTCGCTGAAAGCTGCTTCAGCTCTCCCAATCCCACTTTTGCCTATCCTCTCTTGTATACTTCTGACTGTGTTGAAATCCCCCCCCAAACACCATGCAACTTCTCTGCTGCTCACGATTTCTCTCAGCTCATACCATAATTTCATTTTTTCTTGCTCATCATTCGGGCAATACACATTACCAAACCCACACAATTTATCATACTTCTTTACTTTACCGATGGTGATGATAAAGTATCTCCCTTTCATCTGCTCCATGACCTCAAAGAATTCCTCTTTCCAAATGCTGATAAGTCCACCAGATCTCCCCACAGACTCAACATAACAGCCCTTAATTCCTTCTCCTCTACCACCCCATAATCTTCCAAATATTGTTTCCTTTACTTTCTGTATCTTTGTCTCTTGTAAGAAAATCATATCCGGCCTTTGTTTACTCACAATTCTTCTAACAGCTCTTTTTTTTTCCCCACTCCCTAATCCTCTGGCATTCCAAGATATAATAATCATATCATGGTTATCCCACACTCGATCGTCAACAATTTGTCCCCTGTCACCCAGATCTCCTCTTGTCACCCTTCTCCTCCATCTCCGCAAAAGCTTTAATAACCTCTTCCCTCTTTTTCAAAAAATCCAACCCTAATCTTTTGCTAATCTCCCATGTCAATTTTGCCTCTTTCAGAGAATTAGATCTCTTGCGTGCTTCTTCTCCTTTTAGCCCTGAAACTTCTTTCATATTGTCTCCACAGCAATTCTCTTCCCCTATAAATTCTTTAAATCCTTTCTTTACTCTTCTCTTTCTCATATTGCTGGACCCAGATTCGTATCCCCTCTCACTGTTTACACAGAAATTCGACTCTCCATTCCGATTCCTTCCTATTTTGCCATTATTCATAGTGTCTTTCTTTTTTTCACTTGAATCTGACCACTCTTCTTCTTCCCGATGTAATCTATAACCCCCTTTTCTTCCACTGAAAAACCCATTCGTAGCTTTCACCTGCTTTATCAACCCTTTTTGCTTTTTACTTATCACTCTCTTTCCCCCTTTTTTTTGTCTACTAGTACCACCCCTACCATTAACGATGAAATTTTCCATTTTCCTGTCATCCTCTGAGTCATCATCATCACTCTTTCCTTTAAACCATCTTTCTGGAAGTTTCCGGCATGCCACCTTATACTTTTTCTGAAACCATCTTTCAGGCAATCTTCTCTTTCCTTTTTTAATCTCTTTGCCTTTTTGACACTTTCCTTCAACCTCTCTCTGTCCCACTTCCTCCTCCTTCTTTGACCCTTTTCTTATTGACTTCTCGGACTCTTCTCTCATCTTTGCTTGTCCCATTTTTTCTTTTTCACTTAATCAATTTTGTCTTAATCTCCCCCTCTCAGTACTGCTCCATTCTTCCTCCCTTCTTAGATTAATGCGGCCCAAGCTTTGGTCCATTTGTTTTCTATCATTGCTATGCGTACCTTTCTGGCCCAGGTCCAATGCTTGAACTGGGCTGATCTCGAGACCGTTACACCAGTTACCTTCCTTTCCATTCCATCCCACATTTCTATTACAATTGTCCTTTTTCGGTTCCCCCGCTTCCTTGTTTTGTTTAAATTTAAATCTGCCTCATTTTCCCCTTCAGAAGGAAAAGACAGAAAAACCCCTATCTCTTTTCCTTGCTCTTGTTCAAACCACTATTCCTCATAACCCTGGCCACCGCAGTGTTCCTCCTCCTGACCTTCCTCTTCCATTGTGAACCGTTCATACTCCCACTGCCTCTCCTCCTCTCCATCTTCAGATGATTCACTACTTGTATCAGCTCTTCTTACCATCGCCTCACTTTTCTCCATGCCAACAATTGATGCTTTCACAAAATATTCTTTTCCATTGACCAAAATGGGGGTGAAATCCAGAATCTTTTTCAGCGATTGAACTTCCACCTGCACTATTGCATAGTCAAGTCTCCATTTTTCCTCCGTATCTCGATCCACCTTTATAAATTTACCCCATGAATTTACAATGGCTCAAAAGCAATCTTCATGCCAAATATGCAGAGGAACCTCTTCAATTTTGACCCAAACTTTATAGACTCTCTCATCGACACCCACACAATATGGAGAAAGGCTACTGAACCAAGGTTCAAACAGATCCCAGTAATGGTTTAAGAAAATCTCCATTTCCTCTTTCACATCAAAGGTCACTAGCACGTTTAATCCTCTTAAAGGTCTGACTTGAGCATAAATTCCTTGTCGGAATAAAGAACCCTGAACTGATCCACAATTAATAGGACTCCTCAGTTGCCCTTGCGCACTTCTCCCTAACCATTCCAACTCACCTTCAATAATAGTAACTTTGTGAATCTCTCTGTTCATCCCTGTCCGCTGTGGTACATTCTCCTTTGGTCTCTCTCTTCTCTCTGATTCCTTATCCTTATCAGTTGATTTCTCCTTTTTTTCCATAATGTCCTCAGTCAACACTTCCTTAAAAGTTCTGATCTTTTCTTCTTTGACCCTAATACTTCCCTTCTCATTACCTGACTCCATCTTCTCCTTCTGCCTATTCCCTGGTTTATCTGCTTCCATAACTCGAATCCTTCGACCATAAATCATCCTATTATGGCCCGATTGAATAGCCCTTACCAATTCCTTTGCCTCCCTGTATCTTACAAACGCATACTTAGTTTCCATCTCCTTCTTGGGTCTTGGTATAAAAACATCAACCACTACCCCATAATCATCAAAGCACTCTTTCAGTAATCTCCAGTCCACTTCGTTGCTTAGATTCCCCACAAACGCTGAGAACAATCTATTTCTCCACCTCCTTACTCCCTATGGATCCTCGTTACCTTTCCCATTCGAAAACCTTCTGTCTTGCCAAACCTGGTATTCACTTCCTCTCATTCTCTCTCTTTAGGTAGTAGCTACTAGAGTTTAGGGTAATCCCAGACCTCTACACCTCATTTTACTCTCACAAACAGAAGGAAAGATTTTAAAAAAACCCAATTTTCCGAGTTTCTCTTTTAAGGTAAGCTAGCCAAAGGACCCAAGATACGTGTTACGAATTAAGAGCTTATTAGCTCTTTTAAATGAGGCCAGTGCTCCGCACTCTGTGCCCACTTACTCATTTTGATGATTACAAACTTTATTAGCTTGCCGTCTTTAATTTAATCAATGAACCTCTTAATCTTAATATACATAATATCATATACATATTGGTATGCAA